TGAAGCTTTCTTTGACTCAGAAGAAAACACCGCAAAGAGCTGCTTATTGCTACAGTTCATCCTTGGTTGTTTACATAAAATTTTCCTTTTTGATTCCCATCATTTTGTGAGCAAAGAGAGGGCAGAAACTTTGATGATGCCTTTAGTTGACCAGGTATTATTCACTTAGTAGGTAAACAATGAAAATGTTGATAGCCTCTCTGCATGAATTCCCTCTTTCATTTCACTTCCTTTTTTCCCTTCCTTTTCATTATACACTACAAACATACATGAAAACAAACAACGCATAACTACCACTTACAAACATAGAACATATAACAGGAGGAGACTTATTCCATATTCTATTCTTCAATTATCTATTTGTTACATTTCTAATCTCATTGTCTATTTTACTAGCTTTATCTTTTCTGCGTTCTCAAATTTCCATCAAGTTATTACGCTTATATTATACCAGTCATAAAATCTCTTCCAAGTTTTTTGAAAAGTCCATTCCGTTCCAGCTCTCATCTCCAATGTCAATTTGTGATTCTCAGCCGTTTCAAACAGCTTATTCACATATTCTTGTTTCGTTGGAATCTCCATTGTTTTCCAATATTTAGCATATGAAATCCTTGCTGCTGTCGACAAGTGAACAATCAAATACCTATCCGCTTTATCAATTTCACTTCCTTTTGTGGTTGTTCAAAGGGACATAAACCATTTTAGGTTTTATCCTAAGTTTACATAAAGCAGTGATATAGACATGAATATGGGTGACCTTGTTGCTTTGTCCTTAGCTCGAAAACATGATTGGAGGAGAAGAGAAGTTCCAGGAACGAGCGACAGGGCATCTGATCCCCTGTATAGCTCAGTTTGCTGTTGCAATGGCAAATGATTCTCTGTGGAAGCCACTAAACTATCAGATTTTGCTGAAGATGAGGCATGCATCACCAAAGGTATATGACAGAATGTTGAGAGAGTCTCACCTTTACATCACACTGGTTAAGATAGCAGTTAATTGCCTAACTGAATTTATTCTGTCTTTGGGAACGCACAACAGTGTTTTAAAATATGAGGTGCAATAGTAGGTAATAGATTGAGTTATGGGTGTTGTGTTGAGGAATCAGTAATAACCATGGGCAACCTTGCATATGCTGTATTCAACAAAGTTGTAACTTTCTGTGTACAAAGACATGGAGTTTAGCACGTCCTCTAGAGACTGAGTGTCAAAGTGCAGTTTCTTTCAGTGGTGGTGCAAAGAAACACTGCTGTAACCTTGCTATTCCTTTTTCTAGGTTCGATTTGCTGCTTTATTAGCTGTGCTGGAGCTTGCAGAAAAAATAAGAGAGAATTATATGGTACTACTACCAGAATCTATTCCCTTCTTAGCTGAGCTTATGGAAGGTAAGAGATTGCATGGTCTTGTTCTCTGCTGCCAGAATTTTTGCTTTGTCTCCTCTTTGGGGAAATTGTCTATCATGTTTGCATTCTGTCTTTCCTCCATGGAGATCAGGAATAGCATGTGGACAGCCTTCCCTTGTGGAAGATCCATACAGATTTGGGGCTTCTTGTTGAAAACAGTCAGCTGTCCCAATAAACGTCCTGTGCATTATGTGTGAAATCAACCCAGAAAAAGGTCTAATTCATAAATTTTTAATAATTAGCATATATTACCTGTTGAGTGGCAAGCTCTTGTGTAATGGGAGCCATGACACTACATCTACTGTGGCACCCAGATTTATTGATTGGCATAGCTGATTAACATCCTGAGTTGACAAGCAGCCCTCTCGAAACCACTGCTGAGGGCCTGGGACCCCAACAATATAAGAGGCAATGCAAGGGGCTGCAGCCAAGTAGGAATCAGTAAAAATTCCCTACTCCCAGTGTAACTCTTGGGTGAGCGTGAAGCAAGCTCCATGAAAAGAGGACACAGTCCCAGCAGAGGGAGGGAAGATAGCAAAAAAGCCCTGCTGTGAACTTGCTGCTTAGGTTTCAATCCAGTGTTCAGCATGGACTAATATGGTTAACCCTTGTGGTACTAAAATGCCCTTACGTCTGAGTTGTTCCAAGTCCTGCTCCTCCCATAGACAGGTTCATTTCTGTGTGTGCTAGCAGCATTATGTGACATTTCTTGTCAGTCTGACAGCAGCAGCTTTGGCTCTGCTGAGCGGCGCCTGTAGTGGTTGAATGGCTTGGCTGTATTTATAACACTGCCCTGTATGTCAGAAAGCTGCTCAGGGGCAACAGGTGCCATGCCACTGAGTTCATTGTAAAGGCTGCATTGTAATGATGATGAGCTAACTCTGGACTGTGTTTCCTTACATAGTTCTGGGGAGTTAAACAGAATGTGTTTTTGAAAAACTGTACTAAAAACAATAGGCTGTAGATATTTTCCATTGGAACTTCTTTTGCAACATGCTCTCAAGGTTTTCACTGCACTGAGTATGCTTAAAGGACTGTCAGTGCAAACTGGGGCAGTTTCATCACTTTAAAGATAAATACTACAAAGAACGGTTGGGGGCACAAAAGTACTGCAGAGTTGTCGGACATTTTTTAGTGATTGTGTTGCTTTTGGCTTTATTAAAAGATGAATGTGAAGAAGTTGAGCATCAGTGCCAGAAGACAATTCAACAGCTTGAAGTTATTCTTGGAGAATCGCTGCAGAGCTACTTCTGACACCATCATTGGTTTCATGATTCAGAGACTTACGAACTGCTCAGCATCAGGACCAAGAAGCAGACCTGTTGCACCCAGGGCCGCAAGCTTAAACCTTCTTGCTGTATATTCTTCCTAGCATTCAGAGTTCTTAATTGTATATTTATAAACATTAGTAATGGTGAACATTTAATGTTAAACAAAGGACTTTTAAATTTTATAAATAGCGTTTTCATTGCTCTTGGAATGTGAAATGTTTGTGGGAAACTGTTCCTTCTGTTTTTTGAGACACTTCTGAAAGAACTGAAAACATGGGCCCTGCAGAGCTCAGGGGTGGTTTGCGAAAGAAAACACAATGAACATGGGCCTTGCTTTGCTGGAAAGGCTCCACACATGTTAAAGGTATGCGCATTCTTAGAAGTGAGCATGATTCTTCCCTGTGGTCATCTGGTTGTTTGTATTCAGCCAGAGAGCAGGACAGACATGCTTCCTTAGTGTAAAGAGGGAGCACGTTGCTGGGGAGAGGATGGCTTCAGACTTTGTAAAAGAAAGATGTTAATCTTCTGTAGCCTCACTGACTGTGTTTTGGTTTTATGGTGACAGGTAGCAAGGGAGAGAATGAGCGGAGAAATAATGGAAGTGAGGCATAATGACCAGCCACTATTGATCTTCCTCCAAATGGGATTTGGTTAATGTGTCTCTGTGCACAGCCTTGCTGACAGTAACTGCATCGCTAGGAAAGCTTTTTGGAAGTAGAAACAGCAACACCATTTCTCTAATCTTGTTCAGTATTTTCTTTAAGAAAATGTGCTTGCTGAACACTTTCCTGCAGAAAATGGTGGAAAGTTACTTCACTTCTATAGGACTTCAGGTGGAACAGATCAAATTCCTATTTCCCTTCCCCTACAGAATAGATAGCTCAATGTGCAGCAAGTTTTTCTAGAAGATTACATGCATTGTAAAAAGAACCATGCTGGATCAGGCCAGTGGTCCATCTAGTCCAGCAACCTGTTTCATGAAGCGGCCATTACCCTGGAGGGCCAACAAGCAGGGCACAGAAGAAAAGGCCTTCCCCTGATGTCACCTCCTAGAACTGGTACTCAGGGGTTCACTGCCTCTGAATAGGGAAGTTTCCCTTACCGTGGCAAGTGGTCATTGATGACCCTCTATGAATCTTGTCTAACCATCTATGCTCATGGCCATCACTGCATCCACTGACAGTGAATTCCACAATTTAATTACTTGTTGGGTAAAGAAGTATTTCCTTTTCTCTGCCCTATTGCCCATGAACTTTGTTGGGTGACCACAGGTACTAGTATTATGGTAGAAAAAAAGTTCTCTCTCTTATCTATTTTCTCCACCCCATACATAATTCTGTAAACCTCAATCATGTTCCCTGTCGGTTATCTTTTTTTCTGAACTTTAGCCTTTCCTCATAGAAAAGGTGCTCCAACCTCTTAATCATCTTGGCTGTCTTTTTCCAGCTCTGTGATGTTGTTTTTGAGATACAGTGACCAGAAATATGCACAATATTCCAAATGAGGCCTCACCTTGTATCTATATACAAGGATATTATCATTGTGGCAGTTTTTATGTTCCATTCTTTTCTCCCACAGCATGGGGCTGGCCTTTTTCAGTGCTGCCACATACTGAGTCATCACTTTCACTGAACTATCCATGAGTACAAAACTCCTGATTATCTAAAATTGTGAGAACACACAGTGAGGTTTGTTTTTGTTTTGCCTGAATGAAGTAACAATTTGTTGGAGGTAAAATATTTTCTGTAATAAATGGTGAGTGATATTAAAATAACAATTCCAACTATAAGCAAATTAAACAGACTATTGCAATTCTTTTAAGTACACACAAACCCCTTGAATTTATAGAATTTTAGTTTTATTGTTAAAGTAATGAGCTTTCTACATAGCTTCACAGAAGTTAAAAATCAATTCTGAATTTTCCAAAGCTGTACAAACATTTTGTGGGGAGTTCGGGCGGGGGGGG